TGGTATTTTTAAAGAGTATATTCCTTTTTAAAGAATTTTAAAAGGTTAGAAGCTATTTGCTGATTCTGACCCTGAAACTGAACATTGGGGAGTTTGGGGAAAACCTTCTTGTGCCTTACAAAATGAGTAAAGCACAATTATGTTTAGCTAAGAATATTTTTATAGCTGCTGCCACCAGTATTCCTCCTCCTCTTCTGTCCGAATTCTGTCCTGTATGTCTCCCCTGGAACATTCCCTCTAATAACTTCCACGCATATTCTCCCATTGCATTTCACTTACTACATTAAGAAGGAGCTTATTTAGAGTTTATTGCTTCTTTTCCCTGTGTTTTAGTTCATAAAATGGTGGACTCTTTACTTAATTTAGTAACACATACCTTTTACTTTAGATTGTAATTTCGTCATTGTTATGCCAGTAACATACCCCATTCTTTAGAGGATAATTAGTGTTAGCATTCTGAAGACTGTCATCATATCTCCTTCCTCCGTTTTTACTGTTGATGAATATTAGTGTTACTTATAAATGCAATGATTGAATTTCAGTCAGACAGTAGAAAGTTTTTGTTTCTTCGAATACATTCTAACTTCATCAGCAAATATATATTTCTCCATGTTAGTTTTTCTGCACACAAAAATTTTAGTTTCTCTGGTTTCATTTGAGCAATTGGTTAGTCTGAAGACCTGGAAAATTTTTTCACATTTTATGTATGAAGATGGGTAAGATTTGTTCTTGACTTTCTGGATTTGTGAAGTCAAAAGTCTCTATCAGCCTCTGGTATGAAGAGTGAAAGTATGAAGGGTGAAGAAAAGGATGAATTTTTAAGGCAGTACTATGTAAGAAGATGTCTGAGTGGGTGTGGCCCTCTCATGATTGATATAAAAGAGATAATGCCAACTAGAACAAAAACAAATTGTGGAAAAGCAAAAACTTAAAAGCACCGACATCCAGGAGGGCAGGGCCTGTGACTGGAGTTTCTTTTGAGGGAAGCTTTCCAAAATTTGTGTGAGTTTGATAGAAATAAACTGGCGGCTTAGTTGGAGGGGTAGAGGCTGGCCTTCCTTCGCTCCGTCTTTCTTCTGTATTGACCAGGGCCATGGACCTTGGAGTGAATGACTGACTTAGGAAAACAAGAACCTGATTTTTAGTTGAATTAGACCTATAAACTTTTGTATTTTTCTTTAGGAATCTGTTTTGCTGTTCTGCAAACTCATTTATAGTTTGCTGAATGTCACAGAATTGATCACCATGACTACCTGTCTCAGAAACTGTGACTTGAAGTGTCAGAGGCTCTGAACTCTTCTGCCTGAACAAGCCCTGATGAAACCTAGTGATGTGCATGCCAAGGGAATCTGAGGCTTGGAATTAACATGCTGGGTTTATGAAGCAGTTCTTGGCAGATGGATTGGAGGGGGCGGTACTAGCCATTCTGGATGCCTGGCACATTGGCCTGTTGTTTATAGAAAATATATTAAGGAGAGAAGATAAGTTATTAACTTTTCTCCCTCCCTTCTGCCTTCATTCTTTCCAGCATTTCCTCTTTCATTTTCTTCATTTTTTCTCTTTTAACTCTCTTTAACTTATTAGTGAATGATGAATGGCACAGTTTCAGGATAATGTTCCAAGATAATTAGCTATATTTTAAGGTCTCCTTTATATGTGAATAACATCGAAGGTATCCAGTTGTTTATGCCAGCATAACCTTCATTAATGATCAGCAGAAGTTGATTTCTTTGTTTAAAACACATAATGGTAAAAGTATACTTACTTTCTGTGGAGACGAGAGGATACTTAGTAACTTTGCCTGATACCATATAACTAAGATTTATGAAATATTATGGCTGTCTTCTCTTGCTGCCACCCAGAACTGGTACTGACTCAGATCAGGGTCCTGCTGGGGTTAATGTGATTTTCGTGTTTTCAGGACTGAACTAGAACAAGACTGGATTGTGGGACTTGGAAAAGCCAGCAAATTATTCAACAACTCTCTTTCTTTAGCCAGTCTTTAAAAGAGTGTGCCTGGCCTCTGGACACCTAAGGAGCACCTTCACTACAGCGCTTACCTAACTTTAGACCATTGGTTTCCAAAATGCAGTGATAGATGTTTAAGTTATGGAAGACATCAGTGCTTACCCCAGAAATTTGATTTTTTTAAAAAAATTTCACAGATAGGCACAACTACACACTTGATATTCTTTTAGTCTTGTGGTAAACACAGCAAGAAGTACAGGAGAGATGCATTTCTTAGCAGCACTCTGAAATATACCAGAGCCTTCTTTCCAAGAAAACTTTACCCAGCTCCTACGATCTGACCCGTGTCCAGTCTGCACAGCTCACTTTCTTATTTTTCCTCCTCTCAAGGACTAATGTAAGTTTGCAAATATTTTGAACCCTCCTTCCCCTGCCCCCTTGGTTCCACAGGCTTTGTTTCAGGCCCTGGGGGAGGAACAGTTGTGAATGCAGTGTGACTCACTGACTCCCACTTCCCTGATTCTGGTTCTGATTGGTCGTCACCTTGTTCTAGCCATATGGCTGCAGAGTACTCTAGCCTGCATCCCTTTCTCTTTCCTTCCCCTACTGTTCCCTTCTGTTGTACACAACACTGGGAGTGGGTTCCGGGCTTTGTCTCTTGCTTGTAGTTTACCCCAGTTGGGCAGTAAGTAAGAGAGCACACTGTATTTCCTAAGGATGGCGGTAGAGGAGAAAAACACCCTTCCCTTTTGTGCCTGGTATAGTAATTATTTAGTTTCCTGTGCTGTTTTTGTTCAAAATTTATTTTTTGGCAAGTGTCGCATTTGTGTTGTATTATTTCCTCCTGGTTTCTCTCCTCCTCCTGATTTGAGCTGTTGGGTTTTTTCTTCTTCTTCTTCTTTTTTTTTAGTGAAAGTTGTTGGAATCTCTTTTCTCTGTATGCTATGCTACATTTTTTGCGAGTTTGTTAATATGGTTGATTAATGCTGATTAAGATGTTGGGGAGGGGGGAGATTGAAAGCAACTCTAAATAATTCTTTAATTGCTAAATGTCTTAATGTTCTAGCAGTTACCAAGCAATAAAATCTACCTATGATACTCAGAATTACCTGTAGCACCACTGCTATTACTTTCCCCTCTCCTAAACTCTATCGGTTCAATGACTCTGCCATTTGTACTTGAGAAACAGGACTTCGAAGACTTGAAAGTTAATTTTTATAAGCATTAGATATTTTTATTAACTTACATTTTTATTCTGCAGGTGGTTTTCGCAAAGACATTGGACTCTGAATCCTTTTTAATATTTAACTACTGAAAGAGAAAGTGCTAGACGTTCCCCCCACCCCAAAAATGGCCTTCATGTGACATTTTCATTGCCTAAAAGGAATCAGTAATAAAAACGTAAAAATTCTCTCAATAATGTATTTCGTATTGACTTAAGTTTTTTAAAAATCTGTTTTTTCAGTATTTTAAGGTTCTAATATGTTAAGCAGGTAACCTGCAGGTTGGGATTCTTTAGAACAGGGGTCCCTCAATGCCCAGGCCACAGACCAGTATGGGTTATTTCTGATAAAAATGGATTGCTATTTTCTAATGTAGATTATGAAGGGAGAAAAAGAAGTGAAAGATGACCAGTATGGGTCTGTGGCCTGTTAGGAACTGGGCCACACAGCAGGAGGTGAGCGGCGGGCAGGGGAGCATGAAGCTTCATCTGTACTTGCAGCTGCTCCCCAGCACTAGCATCACCAGCTCAGCTCCACCTCAGATCACCAGGCATTAGATTCTCATAGAAACACCAGTCCCTGGTGCCAAAAAGGTGGGGGACCACTGCTTTAGACGGTATGTGTAATGAAGTTGGTTAGAATCTTAAGCAAGAATTCGAAAATCAACCTTGATCCTTTGATTTTATTTAACTCTTTATTGAAAGATCATCTTTCACTTCTTTTTCTCCCTTCATAATCTACATTAGAAAATAGCAATCCATTTTTATCAGAAATAACAAACCTGAGTTAGTGAACCCACTTGAAAGTATACAAGAGGAGTGCTGCTTATACTTTCTTTCATCTGTTAGGGCAGGAGAGTTGGAATCCAAGTCTGGCTCCGAATGGATTTTACATATTCTCTGAGCCATTTGCATCACTTTACATATCATATAAAGAGAATGAGGACATTGACTTAGGTGCATAGTATAGTACTGTACAAAATAAATCCTTGCCCTCATGGAGCTTACATCCTGTTGAAATGTATTTTAAAGTAATGAAGGTATCCAAGTATACATTTTTCTTGGATTTGAACAAAGTCTAGAAAATCTAAGAAACCTTAATTTTAAATTTTTATTGCATGTAACTGAATGTCTACTCTGCCTAAACGTGTTTCTCCAGATCCTAGCCTACCAAAGGAGTCCTGCTCATAAGTTGTGCATTTCAGTAATTTAGAATGTTTATTGTTTATATTGCATATTTCTGAGATCAAGAGTTCTTTGCTTAAAAGCCTGTTTAATGTTTAAATCTGGCATAGATACATGATGTTTGTTTAACAGAAATTAGTATGGCTGGTATCTATGTTGTCAGATGCAAAAAGAAAAATGACCAAAAATGTGCCGATCACAGTTCTGAGTACTCTGCATATAGCAGCTTGTTTGGTACTTGTAAGAACGCTGAGGATATTGGTAGTCGCCTCCTTTTACAGTAACTTGACCAACATCATACAGCTGGTAATTAGCAAAACTGAAGTTTGAATTGAGTCAGTCTGTCTCTAGAGTCGCGTCTTCACTGCTACCCTATACTGCCCTTCCAACCTAACATGCTAAGCTAATATTAGTCATGAAATCTGAGATCTAGTGTGACTTCTATTAGCTTTTCTTCTCATGTGTGCCTCAGTTTCCCTTTATATATAAACGTTTCTTATGCCATGGGTTTCTAATTTGTCAAATCTAAATTTTAGATATTGTAACAAGTTTCAGATCAAAGTCGTCAGAGAATAATAGAACACTGTTCTGATAGATTTTATTTCTTTTTGTCTTCATTTGGTAGAAAAGAGTAGTTGAACAGCTACGGAAGAACCTGATAGTAAAGCAAGAACAACCAGACAAGTTCCAAATACAGCCATTGCCACAATCAGAAAACAAACTACAAACAGCACAGCAGCAACCACTACAGCAGCTACAGCAACAGCAGCAGTACCACCACCACCACACCCAGTCGGCTGCACCCTCTCCCAATCTGACTGCTTCACAGGTAAAAGTGTGGCTGGAGCTCTGCAGGCTTCGTATTGCAGATTGATTTGTTATTGGTCATGTAGAAATGGGTCCCGTTTCAGGTTTTATAAAGCTCAACTGTCACTAAACAAAAGTTACTTTGTTTACTTTTTTGTATTATAACTGGGATAAGAATCACTAGAAATTCATTATCAGAAGGAAACAGTACTAAGGAGCAAAAGTTAAATGATTTCCCCCTTTTCCAAAGAAGGAGGGAATGGTAGTCGATGACAAAGAAAAATCTCTTCTCTGTATTAGAACAGAAGTAAAGTCTTATTTTGAATTTCTGGAGTATTTGTTTGCACTTGTTCTAAAAATCTGTGTGACTTGATCACCTCTGGAATCGTTTTTCTGGATTTCTTAGCAAAAAGGCGTGGAGATATTTCAGGGTCAGTGCCCCTGGGACCAGGTAGAAAGAGGCATTTAGAAGGGTGATATATTTCCATTATTCATAGAAACAAAACATTCATTTCTTAGACCATATTCAAGAGAATATGAATCCTGTTCTAATATACTGAAGGAAATCTGAAGTGGAAGCTACAGGTCCAAACTAGAACTAAAGAGTTAGAAGCTTAATAACATTCTAACTTGGTATAGCTGTGCAAATGATTGTCCTGCAAAGAGTATTTAAACTAGCACATAATGTAAGGATAGCAAGGCGATCAAGATACACAAAAAGGGCATATTTGGACATGACAGTCAATCAAGAAAATTATTCAAGCTTGATCTTTACATACTTAGATGTAATATGGGTCAAACTTTTAAAATGGGACAATCAAACAGTCGTTCTTGATTCTTGGAGGTCAGAGACCTCTTTAAGACTCTGTCAGAAGCTTTGGATCCCATTCCCAGAAAAATACACATTCACACTTCATACACTCATTTTTGGACATGATTTCAAGGACTTGGATCTTCTGAAGCCTAAGTGTGGACATCTCTTACCTGCCAACACCTAGTCTTTACTATATCTTTATATGTAGAGAAAGATATTATAATATATTTGATTCTTCACTTTTTATGGACGTCGTATTTGTTTATATACAACATTTTGCAAGTGAATAATGCATTCCTTATAAAAGAACTAAAAATTGCTAAAGAGAATTAACATTTAATAGAGGCTCCTATATAGTGATAATCTTCTGAGTGCTTTACATATATAATATACATAATCCTCACCCCAATCCTAATAAGGAAGGTGGCATTATTATTATCTCTAGTTTTTAGAAAAGAAAACTAAGGCACAAGGAGATTAAGTAATTACCTAAAATCATATACGTAGTATGTAGTGGAGCCAAGATTTGAACCCAGATATTCTTGGTAAAAAATCTGGCCATTCACTACTCTTCTATATTGTCATATAACAACAACAACAACAACAAAACAAACAAACAAAACCGTTATGTAAAATGCCAAAGAAGGAAAAGAAGAATCCCTATTGTAAATCAGATAGCTAGAGCAGCCTACACAATTTTTACCCTAATCTCCACCCTAAGGCAGTTTGAAAATTAAGTATTCAAATTTAAAATCCCCTGACCAGGACTTGTGTTTCTTCTGAAAGATTGCCTGCCAGATTACTTCGTTGAAGGTTTAAACAGAGTTGAGTTAGGTTGTTCTCTTTCTAAAGTGCAGTTTGATCAGAAAGTGATTACATGGAAGGAGTGTGGCACATGTCATTGTTTCCTGGTACACAAGAATTTTCTCTCTCAACCCATGGAAACTTCCTATTCAAGTAATATTCCATGTCACACAAATCATAGAAAATACTTGTGTTTCCCTTCCTGGTAATTTGAGTTATATGCTGCTTTGGGATGGTGACAGTGAGAGGCCTGGGGCTGTGCCCAAACAGTGCTGTGTAAATGGCATCTCTCTATCTGGTATCCCACCTGATACCTTTAATTAATTTAGTTGAGCTTCTTTTGTATTATATTCTTTTGTTTAGTGTAGATGTTTAATGTTAAAAGCCAAAAGATCTCTAGGTTTTTGTTTTTACAGTAAACTACCAATCAGTATTTATTGAGCATTCTCTATGTGCTAGATTCTGATATACAAAGAAGTAATAATGGTCCCTGCTTAGGATCTTATATACTATGATAATTATTTTCATTCATTCTGTAAATATTTATCGAGTCTCTTCTATATGTAAGCACTATGCTAAGCAATGTAGAGGATAAATTCACAAATAAGACAGAATTTCTGTTTTCAAGAATTTAAAAATTTTAGAGGAGAGGAAGATGTAAACAGTTAACAAAGAAGAACAAAATGAAAATACCAGAGGACAGAGTAATTTTGACTAGATAGATCAAAGAGTGTCTCATAAAGGTGATGGCATTTGAGCAGGGCCTTGACAGATAAGTGAGATTTCAGTGATAGACACAGAGAGAAGAGCATCATAGGTGTAGAGAATAGTGAATAAAAGTATGGTATCAGAAGAGTAAATGCATGGCCAGGAAATGATAGCAAAGGAGATAAAGCCAGAAAAGTAGGAAGAGGCTTATTTGTGCAACCCCCACCCCCCATCCCCATGCATGACAAAACTTTTGGGGTTCTTGACAGTCATATGGAGTAATTAAAGATTCATGAGGCCAAGAACAAATGGGAAGTTGTATATGGCGTATGTTGAATTTCTGAGTTCAGAAAGGCATATTAAGTAGCAGTCAGCATGGTTAGACAGAGATGCTAGAAAGAGAAAGTTTTTTAATCTCAGTCAGGTGATTAGCATGTACCAAGGCTTGAGGGAGTTGGGAGGGGCAGTTTCCTTTACTTAGTTAATTCCAACTCATGCTTGTATGTATACTTTGAAATTTTTTCCATCTACAGAAAAAAAATGAAAGAATAAAACAGTTGAATTTAGGTATACCCTTCAACTTACATTCACAACCCTGTCATTTTTATGATGTAATACAAATGTAGAGAAGTATGCCATTAACAAAACCGAACAGAAAATAAACCCTTATAGACAGAAATGCAGGGTTTCTATTTGTAGTTGTTTGAATGTGCATCAGTGACCTTACTTTCAAAATTAAACAAAGAAAATAGTCTAAAATAGATGTGGAAGTTAATTAGATAGTAATCCCTCTAAATTCTGATTTGTATATTGGAGTCTATTTTAAATCAATACTTCATGCTTTGTAGGTACACTAAAATAATAACAGCAAAAAAATGGAAAAGATTTTACTGTTATTGCTACTTGCCATTTATTCCGGCATTAATTTCTAGTTCATGCAGTTGGGGTTGTGTCAGAATTAAAGAACCCCTTCACCAAAGTGTTGGGAAACTGCTATCTTCTCTTGATGTGATACTACTTGGACAGCATCAGCCAGCCAAGGACTAATCACAGCTTCCATAAAAATAATTTTCTTTGTTGTTGGACACCTTTCCTCTTCGTCTTCTCTTCCTCCTGCCTGAACAATTCAAAACTTTTCATTAGGTTTGGATTTGAAAATTCTAGATTCTCTGTCATCTAAACTCGACAACAATCCGAGAGCTTGGTTTATATTCCTAATACTTAGAATAAGCACCACACCTGGAAAAAAGATCTAAGCTATACCTATGTCAGTACCTGGTGTCAATGAATAGTAAATATATTTTTCAAAAAGTTTTCTTTGATGTATATAGTTCTAGGTCTTGTGCCCATAATATAAAAAGTGTTATAAAAGTGCTAGAATACATGTAGTGAAATTAGCCACAACTGAATATTTATAATGTAGCATAAAAATGCTAACCTAAGATGTGAATAAACTTGTTAGGTTTGTGTGTTTTTTAAGTGTTGCAGTTGATGGTAAGTATATAATTCAGGTGAGTTTGAGGTTTTAACTCACTTTTTTAGAATAATCACTTTAGGGTTATTCAAAATATGGATAATGATTTACCTGAACCAAGGATGTTTCAAACAAAAGTACATTGACCTCTTTTAAAGCAATAACATGTACAACTGTTTTTAAAACTCATGTCAGTGAGTTCTGCTGATTAGAGCTTCACTTCTGTGACCCATGGTGACACCAGGATTAATGTCATCTAATGTGACTTTCTTACCACTTCAAAAGTTCTTTCTATTTAAATGTTTTAAATTGAAAGAGCTAATATCATACCGGGTTAAAAACACTTATTACGAATAGCTGGTAATGTAAAGTCAGTGCTTGCTGCTATACTAATATAACATTCCTAATGATAAATAGCATTTAGCTTTTTTTGGTTTTATCACTGATAAATAGTAGATGACTTGTAACCCCCAAAATAAATATCAGTAGTCCCCTTTTACTCCCATTTCACATTTGTGGAGGCAACAGAATGGAGAATAGCTACTCCTGTGTTGTTGACTTAGAGAAAACAAAGAACTGGGTAATTTTAAAGACAAGCATTAATAAAGATTGCTGATGAAGCTGTGATGGAATAAATGAGGCTGGATCATTAAATTTTTGGTTAAAAGAAAAAAAGATATTAAAAGATTAAGTGATACATGCCTATGTGTATGTTTTTAAAGCAGAAAATGGAAATAATTACCTAGAACCATACAACTTAATACACAAATGCTTACATAGACTCTGAAATAGAAGTTCACAAAGGATTTTGTCCAGATCTGTTTTGGGGAGAGTTGGGTTCCTTTCACTGGTTTAGAGCAATACTGTCCAGTAGAACTTTCTACATTGTTGGGAATCTCCACAGTCCAGTCGCTAGCCTCATGTGGCTGTTCAGCACTTGAAATGTGGCTAGTGTGACTGATGAACTGATGTTTTAATTTTATTTTGTTTTATTTAAATTTAAATGGCCAGATGGGGCTAGTAGCTACCATATTGGACAGTGCAAGTGTAAAGTAAGAATAAAAAGGTAGGATAGTATCAAAATCAGAATCACCAAATCAAATCAGAATCATGGTCCTGAAATATCTGTATCTTGATTGAATGGTTACACTAGATAGGTGTATATGCCATGTAATAAGGTTATTCATATTTTCTTGTTCTCTAACTGGCTCCTTTAATTACTCTAGTAAATAGTCTAGAAAATACAGCTTTAAAGCTTAATAGCACTTATGGAATATCAGTCAAGCTCTCTCACCTCAGTTCATCTCTGATCTATAAGGCCTTTTGAGACTGGTTTTTGCTTCCACCTTGTCACGTTTCACTGGATCTTTGATCACTTCTGCAACAGTTCTCCAGAGAAAAGATTATAGGTAGTGACTCATATCCCCTTTGGTATCAAGAGCTAGTATTTACTATACTAGCTGGTTAATAGGTTTTATTATCTAGTGTTTGAGATTTCCTACCTTGAGACAACAATTATGCTAATCCTCATGTGAGGTTCCCTTCCACCTCTCTAGAGTGACACTCAAAAGAATGAAGACACATTTCTTTTGTCCCAGCCTTTGTGTCACAGAAGGCAGATAATCAGAATTATATGATGGCTTTCTTCCTATTGATGAGGTTGTAGCAATTGAGGATAGAGATGGCCTGTGCCTCAGCGATTTGCAACTTCTTCAAAGTTTAAATTAATTGAGAGCAAGCAAAGAATTAGAAAAACCAGAAAAAATAGGTACACTCATTCTGTGTCTGTAAAACCACCCCATTCATTGTTGAAAAGCCTGTGCTCATACTAGTCTGCAGTTATTACTATGAACATGAAGCTAAATGAGAACTCTGGCAGATTAGGGATTGTCTTTCTCTGTAGTAAAATGTGTGCTCTATGTACACAAAAGAAATGTTATACCAAGAAACTTGATTATGAGAATTATTGCTTTGTTTTCCTCTGGGGGTTAGCAGTGTATTGTTTAGTGGGATCACACTTCAGTGTCCTAATATCTGTTCTCCATGTCTCCTAGAAGACTGTAACTACAGCTTCTATGATTACCACAAAGACACTACCTCTCGTCTTGAAAGCAGCAACTGCGACCATGCCTGCCTCTGTTGTGGGCCAGAGACCTACCATTGCTATGGTGACCGCCATCAACAGTCAGAAGGCTGTGCTCAGCACTGATGTGCAGAACACACCAGTCAACCTCCAGACGTCTAGTAAGGTCACTGGGCCTGGGGCAGAGGCTGTCCAAATTGTGGCAAAAAACACAGTCACTCTGGTAAGCCAGCAGCTGCTACTCATGTGTGCCCACATGAGAGGGTTCAGGATATGCGTTTGTAGAGTATATCCATTTTATGCTCCTGCTGGATTGTTCAGTCTCCATCACTCTACTATACCACATTCCCCTTTGGGGCTGACTAGGGAATATACCATTCCTACTGTCTACTCGAATAACTATGGAGGTGTCCTGACATCAAGGACCAAAACTCACTCTGTACATTATCTGAGGTCAAAGTATGACTTGACTTGAACAGGGAAAATGTCCTTCACAGAAGCATACACAGTTTCATGTATCTCTCCCTCCTCTCCACGGCCCTTCCTGTGAAACTTGAGTTCTTAAATTATCTGGTGCTATGTTACTGATTCAGGAAACTCCTTGCTGAATTTTTTTAGTTCACTATCCCTTGACTGCACCCAGGAAGTACTGGAGTTAGTTGGGGCACTTTAAAAATATTCAAGAAATTCACAAATTAATAGTGTCCATGTCCAAGGTCTATCAAGGAAAAAAAAAATCCCTTGAAGGAAGAAGTACTTGAACAAAATTGTTTATGAGATTTCTAGAGTAAAACATTTAGAAACTGATGTTCTCAGGAACTTGGGAATAAATCCAAGTTGTGGTTTAAAAGTTTTTTCCTAAAATGACAGCTAAGAGCTCTTGGTGGCTTTTGAATGATGACTAGTGATGAGTGAAACTAGAGAGCAATAAAGTGAAGCTTCACCACTTACCCACGAATCTTTAGAGAAGCAACCAGATAACTCAGTCAGCTACTGAGAGTTAGAAAATTCTCTATAGGAATAAAGCCATTCATTCACTGTTAGATAAAACGCTTATGTTAGGAAAGAACCCATTTGACCAGGCAGCAGGTTTGATTTTACTTTGGATCCAGTCTTGATTTTTAAAATTTGTAAGTGCAAGTGTTCTTGAGTGTCGGAAAAAGGAAATTGTCTAAGATTGCTGAGCCTGCGTGTTTTACATTAGGTATGTGAGGAGGCAAAAGTGTGGTTGGTTCACTGTAATGGGGCAAATCATGCCGGTGGGAGAGTAAAACTGTTTCTTAGGCAGTGTTAATTCAGATGGTTAACTCTGTAGCCAAAGCTTGTAGCAGATATTGTCTGATCTAGAGAATAGTGATGCTGACAATTCTTTTAGAATGCCTAACTTTGATACTGAACAGTTGTTGTCCCCTCTCGTTGATGTATCTTTCTCATTTTTTAGCAGGTTCAGGCAACACCTCCTCAGCCCATTAAAGTACCACAGTTTATCCCTCCTCCTAGACTCACTCCACGCCCAAACTTTCTTCCACAGGTGAGTAAACCAATGACAAACCTCGTGGTAGGCTAGGTGGGACCAAAAGCCTCGTGGGCCCTTTTTATCATATGGATTTCTCAGCAATGACCAAAGGCAGGGGCATGTGCGGAAAGGAGAATTTTCTAAATTAAAAAAAATTTATGCTAACACCATTTTAAACCTTAAAATGTTAACTTACTTGAAGATTTTAGCTAAAACCTGCCTGCCAGTGGGACAGGAATGTAAATATGACTTTTTTCCCACCTTTATGCCAAAGGGAGCAAGGAAGGAAACGACAGCCAACTAACCAGTAGAAACCATTCAGTTCTACTCTGGAAAGTGATGGCAGAGCATCACGCTGAAGCACAAAGCCTCGCTCATAAAGATTTCAACTGGGGGTCTACCCTGGGGACTTTCTGTCTAGGCCCAAGCAGCTCTGCTTGCCCATATACTCCTGAGAGTATTCTTCCAGCGATGGGCTGAACTCACCATTCTACTGGAAGGATGTCAGAGTTGCCCCATTTGGGACCTTGAAGGGAGTCGACTTGCCTGGTAGAAAGGCTGGGAATTCCTATCCGAGGCCCCAGAAGAGAAAGGAATTTTGTAGTTAGTGGCTATAAGTGATTTCTAGATTGCTTCCAGGGTGGGGATAGGTAACGCTCACATGAGATAACGTGGGTTTAGTCATTTATAAGATGAATTCTTAATAAATACTTCGTATTTCAAAAAAGACACTAAGCCCTATGGATGTGTCAGTTTCTAAGACAGACATCTCCCTGCCCTTAGCTTCAGACACATGTATAGGCAGTTACACTGGGAGTACAGAGTGGTCTAAGAACACGTGGAGGGAAACCCAGCTCATTCTTAAGGGTATTACAGAACATTTCCTTGAAGAGTTGACATTCTACCTGAGACCTAAAGTCCTAGTAAAGTTAGCCCGACAGAGTTTTGCAGGAAGAATAAAAATGCTCCAGGCAAAGGGCAGAGCACATCCATAAGTCTAGAATGGAGAGATGCATGTAAGCCTAAGGAACCAACAGAGATTGGGTGTGGCTAAGGGCAGTGGGCCATGTGGCTGACTCAGGCTAGAGTAAGAGACAAAGCTGGAGAAGCCCATCAGGCCAGAGCCTGCCGAGCCTCATAAACTGTATGAGGTGTTACCCCAGGAAGAGTGGGAAGCTGTTAAAGCATTTTCAGATAAGTACTTGACATGATCAGATTTTTGTTTTAAGAAATTTCTTCTTGCTACTGTGTGGAGAATAGACTGGAGGTGGTCAAGACTGTCGGGAGGAAGAACAGTTAGGATATTGTCAACAGCAATAATAGCTAATGGTCAGAGACTCTTGCTATGTGACACTGTGTAGGCATTCTACATGGGTTATTTTAATCCTCATAACAACCCTATGAAAGTAGGTATTATTCTTTTTTAGATAAGGAATCTAAGGTTTAGTCCATGTATTTTAAATGGTGAGTCATGACCCATTAGTAGGCTGTGAAATCAATTTAGTGGATTACATGCAGAGTTTTTAAATAAAACAAACAAAACATAATAGGAAATATTAAAGTACATAGCACATAAGTATTGTTTCAAGAAGTTTTTATTTTATAGAGAAAGAGATATATGTCTATATGTGTGTACTGGTTACAGTGAAATGTCTTCTACTCTGTGTCTGCAGCACCCACCACAGAGTCATCTTCAGTTCAGCTAAACATTCACAGGGCTGTCAAGGGCCACACTTGGCCTTAGTTCACTTGGAACGATACAGGATGGAAACCAGAGCTTGCCAGCCCTTGCTCGACATCAGACGTTTTTTTTGGTAGAGTCGCTGCAGTGCTCGTACAGCAGTCCCTGCAGCTGTCCGGGGATAGCTCAGGTGCAGGGAAGTGAGGTCTTTATCAGGACAGTGGGAGAGCCACCCTGGCACAGAAGCCTTATGCCTCACAGGGGCCAGTATGTCTTGTAACAATTTCATACACATGAATTAAGGTTCCCCACAATAGACACACCTGGTTATAAGAGTCACCCTACTTTGGAAAGCCCAAAGCATGGTGTCCTATCAGGTATTTATAATTCTCCCCATTCCAATTCAGTTTAGCAATAAGAGGTCATTTTTATCATAAGCAGTGTTACCTGGTAATATAGTTGACATTCTTACCCTTAATCAGATTTCCAGGGGGACAGAGCTAGAGTGTTAACTGAAGGTCAAACTCTCATGCGTAAGGGCAAAGGATTTTTCCCATAGGGTCACAGTTTAGAAAGTTTGAAAAATACTAGCTTAGTGGGATCAGATATGTTGCCTGAGGTTATATAGCTAGTAAGTGGTAGACCCAGGATTTGAACCCAGGCAAAGCTGACTCCATGTTTTTAATCACAATTTCCTGCCACTTTTAAGCCAAACGTAAGGTAGAGTAGTGGCAGTGAGGGCATAAAGTAGACATATTTGAGAAGGCTTCAGGAAGCAGAGATGGAGTAGGAAGCATCATGAATGATTCTCAGGTTTAGCAAGCAAAGGCCATTTACTGAGGTGATGATTACGGGAGGAAAAGAGGGTTGGAGTAAGAAATTGATGAGTTTCAGACATGTTGATTTTGAACTTCTGTGGGAATTTCAAGTATAGATGTCTAACAGGCAGTCAAATATATGATTCTGAAGTTCAAGAAATGTCTGAGATACAACTGTGGAAGATGATAAGTGAAGCCATGAGATGGGTGAGAGCTCCCAGGAGGAGCAAGGACATTGGGGAAGAAAGCGGTTCCAGGTCAAAATCCTGAGGAATACTTACATTTAGGATTGGACAGAAGAAAAGGAAGCCCACAAAGGAGACCGAGAGGAGTGGCCAAGATGGGGAGTTAAAGGGCCACAGATGGGGGCGAACCGAAGCCGTAGGCAGGAAGACATTTAGCACGTGGGTTAAGGTCATTGGCAGTATTATTACCATACTCTGGGGACGAGTTCTGGGTTGGACCAGTCTCTGGGTTGGGCATTTGACCTCAGCCTGAGGAGCCCGCATGGTGTATAGGAGAAGAAGCTAGGTTTGGAAGCAGATGAACTGCGTTCTAGGGTAGCATTTGGACCCATTTAAAAGCTGCTGAGTCTTTGTAAGATTATGTATCTTGAGAGCTATATAATCGATAAACCAAAATGAATATTCATAAATATTTGTACTAAATAACATTTCACATATGTAGTATAGAAGTTCTGGCAACGTCTTAGACTTACAGGAGTTCAGAAATTTCTTTAAGTAATATGATCATTGTTCTCTTTCCCCATAGGTTCGACCCAAGCCTGTGGCCCAGAATAACATTCCTATTGCCCCAGCACCTCCTCCCATGCTTGCAGCTCCTCAACTTATCCAGAGGCCCGTCATGCTGACCAAGTTCACCCCCACGACCCTCCCTACCTCCCAGAATTCCATTCATCCCGTCCGTGTCGTCAATGGGCAGACTGCAACAATAGCCAAAACGTTCCCCATGGCCCAGCTCACCAGCATTGTGATAGCTACTCCAGGGACCAGACTTGCTGGACCTCAAACTGTACAGCTTAGCAAGCCAAGCCTTGAAAAACAGGTACAGGCAAGAGTATGCACCTGCTTTGGACAGCAGCCTTGCCATCGAGTCTGGGCTATCTCTAAATACATCTTTTCAGCGGCCCTTTATCTCAGCACCATTGTTGATCACCTGTTGCTTATCATGTCCTAATTTATCTATAATGCAGAAGGTCCATACTTATTTGAGAAAGTTGGGTTGCTTTTCCCATTATCCCCCTTTGTAGATGGATCAGAGTCCTGAGTGAATGAGCTCCCCCTGCTGGTTCTGAAGCAGAAATTCAGATGGTTTATGCTATCCTCAGGCGGGGAGCACATTTGAATGAGGCAGTAAACAGAAATTGCCATTATTAGTTTTGGCCTGGTAAGAATCCAAATGAGGATAGGACTCTGAAAGTCAGGAAGAATAAGTAAAAGAAGGAAAGAGGTTTCATCTCAAAGATTTTCCCTGGTTATTACAGATAATGAAGAGCTAAATGAAAAAATTAAAATCTCTAAAAAGCATCTTTTAACTCTAGAGGATGTAGACATTTTAGCTCAAACATTGAAGCCTTTTATTTATATTTCTAAAACTAGATTTTCTCTTGAAAAAATGAGGTTAGAGAAATATACAGGTAACTTCCAAAAATACTTAAGTCCGTGATAGACAGACTTCTAAAAACAAGAAAAAGGATTTATAGGCAGTCACTGTATTTTATTTAAAGAAAGACCAATGACGAAAAAGAAGAATTTTGCAAAGAAAATCATCCTCTTTCAGAAAGTTGCTTTAAAAAGTCATTGACCTAATTGCTCAGGCTTGAGTTCTCATTCATCTGAAAATAGTCTCTGGTGATCCTGAATCTTCTGCTTCTGGATGGCTGACTGTGATTCAGAGAGGCTCACCAGATGGTAGGGAAAAAGAAGGCTTCCTGCTGCCTTGGCCTTCTTGAACAGAGGAACATTATGCATAAAGCACCCGGCTTTCCACCCAGGCAGCTCATAAATGCAGCAGGCCTTTTACTAAGAAGCTGGAAACCAAAATCCTGTGCTCAGAAAACACAGGAGAGGGCACATCTCTGTTCCCGGGGAGCCTCCTCGAACCCCAGGCTTTAAGGAATATTGAGAAAAAAGTTACTTACACATATTTTAGATCAGAAGTTTTTAAACTGTCAGCAGAACTTCAGTATTAAAATATTGAAAGTAAAATGCTCAGGCATAGTAGGCGTTTGTGTAGGGGCGTGTTTGGAGATCATCTGCCCTGTGCTGGCCCTCACAGCCCCTCTGAGGAGCCTTAGAGTTCCAAAGAACGTGCTCTAAAAACTACTTTAGATTGCCTAATGTTATTTCTCTTTGACCTCTTTTTTGATAAAGATTTTTTTAGGAGACAAGAATTTTTTCGGTTTTATCTTATTTCTACATTTCTTATATTTCTATTACAATAATAATACATATTCATTGTAAAAGAAGAATTTAAACATTACAGAAATGTATACTGTAGAAAGTACATCCTCTAATAATCTATGAAGAGAGTAAACTTCTTCCATAATTTTATACCCTCAAAGTTGCTATTAACAGTTTAGGTTACATTTTAGGTTCTATTTCTTCACATATTATCTATGCACATACTAACATGTTTAAAGAAAAACTACAAACAATGTACATTATTTTGTAACTTGCCCTTTTTCTTATTAGATCTTGAATGTCTTTTTATGTCCTAGCCTTACACATTCATAGAGCTTTTCATTTTAAACATAATGTCATAGAAAGATACCCATTAATTCTTAAAAGTTAAAAAAAATTATTTTCTAGTGCCAATTCTGTGGTCTCTCTTCTTGTTGACCTAATAGAGGAACCTAGTCATTGCTGTTTTAGCTTAGCAGGCTACCTGGCATAATAGTCTACCAGTTACCAAGCTCAGCAAGGATTCTCTTTAGACTGGACTCCGTTCTCAGAATTTTCTCACTTCACATCTCTCTACTATCCTTCTTTTCTTTTTTATGTTTTCTTTCCAATATCACATTTATAGCCATTAAGAGATCTCATAGATGGGCTAAGAGTGAAGCAATGTAAACATGTAGCCACAGAAGTACCACTTACAGCCTGCTCATAGAGTTATCAAAACCCGAATCTAACATTCTCTGTGTGACCAGGCTAGGTGGGTTTCTTTCTTCTTTCTACTGTTTCCCTTGGTGATAGTTTAATAAAATGTGATTATGTGCCAGCTACTATGCCATGTGTGTCTAAATACAAGGGTGGGTAAGTCAAAACCTGTACCCTCACAGAGCTTAACCTCTAGTATGTTTGGGGCAGGCATCAAGGCTCTGCCTCCAGGGGAGCAAGCCTGGCAAGGTGTGTAGTCAAAGGCTTCCCACTTTGGCATAGGAAAGGGAGAAGGCAATGTCAGTTATAAAAATAGCGGTCTCACTTCTTCCCCTGTCAGGCATCACTAGCTCCTTATCCACCCTGGATAAGAGGTCCCTTGTCTTAGCCTTTATGAGAAGCCACATTACATCGTGGCTCTGAAAAAACGAGGTAGAGTTTAAAGAGCTTTGAGACTAGAAACATATTTTAGGCAGACAGGCAAATAAATCCAAACAGACTTATATTGTAGCCCCTACCTCACTACTTTATGCCCTTGTCCTTGCTAGCACTCTGAGAAATGGGGCTAAACACCTGTTGATGATGGAACGAGATAAAGCGGTTCAAGTCCATTAGACTATGATGCATTTCTCAGGAATTACGTTCATTTTCTATCCACCTTGTTCCACCCCCTGCAACCAAGACCTCTTTGTGTGTCCCAACACTCAGCTCCTGAAAAAAAATCGCAGGTTCTGTGGGGAGAATTGCCAGATTGCCACCCATTTCCCTACTTCTTTATATACCTTGCATAGGAACCTACACAATATATTCTAAAAAAGGAGTGCCTTCAAGATGAGAATATTATCTGATGTGTTATCCCCAATTCCCAGTCTTCCCTCTTAGTAAACCTGAGCTGGTGAGTCTTCACCCTCCATTTTAGTACTGATGCTGTTGTCGGGAGGATAGATCCAAGCGACCAAATGATGGATTTTGCTTTGCCCTCAATCCAAATTTATTTAACCTTGATTGATGAAACTATTTGGACATGTATGTATATGTAAGTGCCTAACTTTGATTATTCATGCAGCTAGGTCTCAGAAGGTGAATTTGGAATTTAGGGTAGAAATGGTTAACTTGGTTCTAGTCTTATCCAGAGTTTTTTTATGTCTGCCTTTACAGTGTCAAAAAGAACAAGATTTACAAATTCAAATAGCTACAGGTGTGGAGCAGGAAGTGAGTAAAGCAGGCTGGACTTTTTATTTTTCCATTTTCAATGGGAACATGAGTATAAGAACCATCCCACTTTTATCCTTAATTCCTCTTTGAAATAGTAAGACAAACATGATAAAATTGACAGTTCGGCCTTGGTGTCAAAAAGACAGTAGAGAGTGGAAGAGACTGTGGTAAACTGCGAAGTCACGTGTGTACTCCCCCTCAAGGAAGCACCCACTTCTTGACAATAGCCAATTTTTATTATATGGAAACTTTTTCAAGAAAAACCAGAAATCCAAATATTTTGAGAAATCACCTAGTTTTTAAAAACCTGGTAACTGTTTAAATACCATATAGGTGAAAAATAATATCTGCAGAGAAGCTTCAGCTCTGGATAAGAGTTTATATTATAATCTCTGATAGAGACCAAACTTTTAGCTTAATCCATTTTTTTCGTTGTTTCCCAACCTATTTTTTTTTAATTGAGGTGAAATTGACATAAAATTAACCATGTTGAACAACTTTAAGCAAAGTGACATATAAGGAAACCAGTTTTACTGTAGGCTAGTTGATATACAGAAATATACCGTAGGAACTCAACTCTTGTTTATGTCAACTAGCATGTAGTAAAATTGGTTAATGTCACAATTTCCAAGAACCTATCGACAACATTAAGTAAGGTCTTATACTATATGTGTCTTTAGGAGCTTTCATCAGATGCCATCTGGAAAGCTACTCCAGCCCAAGGTGGGCAAAACAAAGGTCAGCCTCTGACCCATTCCTCAGGGAGCCACCAAACAGGCCAACAGGCCAAAATGCACAACCCCAAGTTTTTGAGAACAAGGCCGCATATTGCTCCGCATGGCACCAGCAAGCCACACAAGGAACACGGGTTGCCATCCCCACAGCCTCTGCCCAGCTAGGGAATGGGGTTTGATAGTTAGGTAAGGACAAATGCTTTCTTAATGAAATTTGGCAGCCTCTTTCTTGAGTTAAGTGCCCCCATAGTTGCAATAACTTTTAAAATCAGATTCTAGCATTCTAAAAAGTTTATTCTGGTCTTGCCAACTTAATGGATGCTTCAGGAGAAGGACTTACTTGGGCTCTATGTTCTGCCATTTCTGTGATGTCACTCTCAGCCTGATGTTTTTTGTCTGTTTTAAGCAGCTTAAAACAATAAATATTTATTATCCCACACAGTTTCTGAGGGTCAGGAATCCGGTTGCATCTTAGCTGGGTGGTTCTGGCTCAAGGTCTCTCACAAGTTTGCATTCAAACTGTTTGGCCAGGCTGCAGTCATCTCAAGGCTCGACTGGGCCTGGATAGTCCTCTTCCACACCCAGTCACGTGGTTGTTGGCAGACCTTCCTGCTCCCTGACAGCTGGCAGGAAGTTCAGTTCCTCAGCACATGGGCGTCTCCATAGTGCTGTTCACAACATGGCAGCTGGCTTCCCCAAGAGCGAGAGGTCCTTGAGAAAAAAACACTTTCCCAGTGTTTCTATTGTTTGATTTTTTTGCATGCTTTTGGTGTTCTTTGTCCAACCCTGAGATAATTGTACTCTTCTGCATGAGAGAGAAAATTTGAACCCTGGGTACTTTCTTTGCGGAGAGGAATTGGTTTGCCCATCCCCAGAGGCATGACCACTGCGTGCTTTACTCGGCCTTGGAAGTGGGAGTAAGCGACCCTGGGGAACCCCACGCAGCCTTGGAGTGGAGCAGCAAACCCTCACAGTCGACCTTTCGTCTCCTTCCTCCCTCAGACTCCTGTCCTTCCACATTCAGAGAGTTATGAAAATAAGCTTTCTGGACACCCAAGACCTTTAAAATGTCACTATAAACTACTTTCCCCTTGTGATCCCCCTCTTTGGTGGTTTGTTTTATGGAGTAAATGTGTCCTTTTTGGTTCAAAAATGTGTGTGTGTGTGT